AAGGACGGCACGAGATCCCAGAGACTATTCCCAAGACGTGTCGACAATTAGGGCCGCCCAGGGAGCCACTGTCGGGGAGATCAGAGCCTGAGCTCCCCCGTGCCCCGAAGGTGCAAGCACACGATGCGTCCGCCTCGCTGGGCCTACAGGGGAAGACCTTTGACCCTGCAGGCAGCCAAGCGGACGAGCGCCACGCGGGAAAGCAGAGAAAAGGACGGCTCGGGACCTCAGATATAACCTGCTGACCAGCTCGGCAGCCCCTCGGTGCAACGGTCGCCGCAGGGGGAGAACTACGTCCAGTGCCCCACGGCCGTGCAAACCGGGGGGAAAGGTGGACATCCGAGGTGGGAATTTATACATGACCACCGACTGGAGGATCAATTTTCGAGGAACTCGGCAGGCGGTGGATATGGATAGATTCGGGCCCCCGGGGGCCGAAATATATCCATATCCACCGCCCGCTGGGGCACCAGTACGTCAGTTCCCAGGCGTTGGATATGGATAAATCCCCGCCTCGCAGGACACGTGCAGCAGTGAAAAGGACGGCCAGTGCCCCCAGATCTAGCCCGTCACACAGGTCCAGGAAAGAGCCTGCAGGATAGACGCTGCATGCGGCTCGTCGGGGCAGTACCCCCGTGGCCTTGCGTCGCAGGAGCCGGGAGGCTGGGTCCATCAACGATCAAACAAAACGGCGGGCCACACTTAGCGCATTGGTGTCCGGCCAAACAGAGTCTAGCTTGGGATGCCTGCCCGAGGTGATGCGCTACCAGTAACGGAGGAAGAGACGGAGGAGGAGGAGGAGAAGGAGGAGGCGGAGGAGGAGGAGGAGGAGGAGGAGGCGGAGGAGGAGGAGGAGGAGGAGGAGAAGGAGGAGGAGGAGGAGGAGGAGGAGGAGAAGGAGGATGCCGCACCGTCTTCCTCGCGGCGCGGAGTCGGGCCCGGGCCCGCTCTTGCTGCCTGGGCGGGCGCTGCGGTGCGCCAGGCCAGCGGGAGCTTTCGCGCGTCAGGGGCGCTCAGGATTCGGTCCGCGCAGGCGCCGCCGAGAGCACGAGCACGGGCGTGGCCCATTGGGGGCCTTGGGGATTCCGCTTGCGCGCGCGAGCTGCAGAGGCATGCGCGTTGACTGGCCATATCGGTCGTTGTCGGCCAAGTTTTCCGAGGCCCCATGCCGTCGTGTTCCACCCTGTGCATTCAGCGTTTGCCAGGCCTCCAAGCGTGGGCGATTGGGGAAGGCGTTCTTGCCCCTGCTTCGTCAAGAAATATTTGTTTGTCGTTTAGCACATGATTTCAGAATGCCGGGGCTGATGGGCACGATCGCTTTGCAACAACATCGGTGTGAGGGATCACTTGATGCCCTGAGCTGCTCAGATTCCCGTGGCATGCAGCAGCAACACTTGCCGTGCTTGTTCGCCCCTTCGCGCACATCAGTCTAACGAAGGCCCTGCGGTGTCAGCGCTAGCACACAGCAGCTGCGGTTGGAGTACTTTCCTCTTCGGCCCCTTCAGGCGGTGGCGCAGATGCTCCTCTGATCAAGCTGCTCCACGCACACCGGAAGACTATGTTCGAGACGGAGGCGGCTTCCCATTCTGTGAGCGATCTCCTAGCGTTGATGTCGGGCGTTCGGGCGCTGTTCCATTGGAGAAGCAGTATGTAGCGTTGGCTCGCTTTTCCATGTTTGACCCCTCGTCGAATCTAATTGTTGACGCTTCGCGCGTCCTCGCCAGTCCATGCCATTATGCGAGGCGTTTTGGAGCTCTCTCCGTTTTGGGGACGTATTGGGGCCGTTTCGGGGGCCAGTATGGCCTTCTTGGGCAGTCGCGTGGCTCCTCCTCCTCCTCCTCCTCCTCCTCCTCGTCATCATCATCAGCAGCATCATCATCACCATCATCTTCACCATCATCAGCTTATTTATTGAATCGCTTCGCTCATTCCGCCGGCCCGTGATATGGCATCGCTGGTTTTTGTCTGTGTGTTCGTTGCCCATGTTGCGCTCTTGGGGGCGGGTGTCGTTCGGACGCGTTGCGTGGGGAGTTTTGATGGTGAAGCAGTTCCCTGGGGGTCGTCTCTCGATGGGGCGAAATAGAGTCGTCGTCAAGATGCTTCTTTGGGGGGCCTCTTGGGGTCTGTTGAGAGGCCGTTCGGGGGCGCCTGGGAGACATGTTTGAAGCCTTCTGGGGCTTCTTTTGGGCCTCCTGGGAGTCTCCTGGGGCCTCTTGGCGACATCTTGGGGCCTCTTGGAGGCCTCTTGGGGCCTCTTTGGGACCTCCTGGGCGCCTTCTGGGACGGAGGGCTCCATTTTTGAGTTCTCGGTATCCCTCCTGAGTCCCTCTTGGGCCCGTCTTGGGGCCTCTTGGTCCGTCTTGGGCGGCACTTGGGCCGTCTTGAGGGCTCTCTTGGGTCGTTTCGGCGCCGTCTTGGGAGCTTCGTGGGCCGTCTTGGAGCGGTCTTGGGGGCCTCTTGGGCCGTCTTGGAGCGTCCGGAAGCCGAAAAAGCCAAAACACAAAAAACATCGAAAAAACCAATGAAAATCAACGATTTTGGCCTCTTGGGGCTCTCTTCGGAGGCCTCTTGGAAGGCTCTTGGGGCGTCTTGGAGGCCTCTTGGGCTGTCTTGGGGGCCTTTTGGGCCGTCTTGGGGTCATCTTCGGCGTCTTCGAGCGCTCTTTGGGCGTCTCGGGGGCCTCTTGGGCAGTCTTGGGGGCCTCTTGGGGCACTCTGAGCGCGCTCTGGGGAGCCTGAGAGGCCGCACCCAGAAGGAAAACCATCTCTGAGTAGACTTGGTCGGGCGGCGGTCGGGCGGCGGTCGGGCGGCGACCGGGCGTTGGTCGGGGTACTTTTCGCCGGGGGACCCCCAGGGGCCGCCCCGCGCGCGCGAACTCGAAATACTGTTAATACTGTTAATCAGTTACCGGAGATCTTAGCACGCCCTGGCCCGTCACCATCATCTTCACCATCATCAGCTTATTCAGATGCATCACCATCACCACCATCATCATGTTCATATTCATCATCATCAACATCCTCATCCTTATCAGCATCATCACCATCACCATCATCATCTTCATCAACATCAACATCAACGTCATCATCACCACCATCATCATCAGCATCATCATCAACAACAACATCAACATCAACATCATCATCACCACAATCACCACCATTATCAGTATCATCATCAACAACAGCATCAACATCAATATCATCATTATTACACCACCACCACCACCATCATCATCATCATCATCACCGCCATCATCATCATCATCATCATCATCATCATCATCATCATCATCATCACCATCATCATCATCACCACTATCATCATCATCATCATCATCATCATCATCATCATCATCATCATCATCATCATCATCATCATCATCAACAACATCATCATCACTATGGATCCTCCTGCTCTGCCTTCCTCCATGCCGCATCACTAGCGGTCTGCGGCCCATTCCTTCGCCGTGGCTTGGGCGTTTCTTGAGGGGGGGCGTCTTTTGAGAAGCTGCTGGACCTTCGGGGGATCTCGGAGGGGCCCTCGAGGTTCTGGGCAGTCCTGGGGCCGTCTTGCGCGGGCGTGGCCCCAGGTCCTGGGCGCCTGGCCCGGAGCAGCGCCTGAGGCGAGCACTCCTCCGCGTGTCGCTCTCGTGTTTTGCTCTCTCGCTGCGCCTCCGATCGCCCAGCAGCGCCGGAGAATGCTGGCACATCGGCAGCCCAGTCCCGGGAAAGTCTGAGGCTCCTCCTCGTGCCTTTCATGGCCGCACGAGTCTCTGGGCACTCCACCACCTGCTCGGGGTACGGTGGGAGGTTCGAGGCCTGGGAGGGTGCGAATCACCCCTACCACCTCATCCCAGCCTCTCCCTAGATCTCCGATCTGGAAGGGTCAGGCCGGCACGGGCCTGTCTTGCCTCCTCCACGTCCTGGGTCATTCTCGATGCCCCTCCTCCGGAAATGCGGACCCCCGACCCCCTCGCGCAGTGAAGCAGATCACGACGGGAGGTTTTTGGCACTCTTCGGCCTTGGGGACCCTCGCAAGGGCCCCGGGGCCTTCAACAAACGACTCGGGGTGAAAAATCGACCCTCGTCGGCGGCGCGCACAAGGGGGGGAAGGGGGGGAGGGGGGAAGGCTTCTTAGAAGGAGACTGCTCCTGAAAAGGCGCCGGCCTGACGTCTACAGACAGGGCCCGCGCCTTCTAAGCAGCATGGGTGCTTCTGAGAAGCCTTCCCCCCTCTCCCTGCCCCCCCCCTCTCCTCCTCCTCCTCCTCCTCCTCCTCCTCCTCCTCCTCCTCCTCCTCCTCCTCCTCCTAAGCACCCCGGCACAGGGCTGGGGAGCCACCCCGCCAACGCAGTTTTTTCCTTCATCCCCATACATACATTCCACTCTGACGGTGCTGCACACACAGCTGCACCGACACAATGCGCCTCTCATGACATTTTTGTATTGTGCTGAGAACAAGCGTATGTAGCGATCACTGCTGGCCATCAGCAGGTTCTTCTTCTTCTTCATGAACGGTGTTTCCAGTTTGCAGTACAATCCACTGTCCCATGATCGACTTGTGGACATATCGCAGCAGACCAGTCAGTTTGACAGTGTGTGCCTTGCAGGGACAGGCGCTAGCAACAAGTATGGCAGGGAGGGCATAGTTTGGCATAAAGTTGATCGTAGATGGGTGCTGGAGGCAGGGTGGGTGCGTGAGCCTGGGAGCAACAGAATCTCTGGATGCACTATTCTCGTTGGTCCTCGCATTAGGAGAAGCACAATTACACACATGGGCCTCGCCATCGTATATTGCAGGTCGTGGGGTGGCACCCCGTGCCCACTGCAGTCAGTCCGACCTCGGGGTGAACAGCGTCTATTTCCCGCCGCCGCCCAATAAGTCCAACCAGTTCTCTGCGTATGTACGAACCTGTGACAATATAGTGCGATGGGCCCGAGAAATCTCCTTTTGGGCCGTGTCTCGGTGCTTTCCCATTCTGGCAATCGATTTGAACTATGGTTTCGGATTCCAGCGACTGGCAGAAAACGAAGATTGGACAACAGTACATGGTGATCGACTAGGGATTCGGGAAACGGCTACCAAACAACACTATATTGCTGATGTTATGCTAGTCAACATGCACATCGGAACGGGCACAACATATTATAACCCTACGGGCTCCACGTCGAACATTGATTACGTCTTCATCCCCAAGTGTGCACTGGAACAGATCTCCTCAGCAGGCCCCCGGATAATTCTCGCCAGAAGGCCCCAACTTTTCATGCATTGGCAACACCGTGATCACTTCCCTGTACATGTCAGATCCACCTACTCTATTGTGGCTACTGCGTCAGGCGACCAGGTATCGCTACAGGAAGACATGGGACTCTTGATGGACTATCTTCGAATGGGCACCAACAGGGCAGAATACCTCATCGGCCTTAAACATATCAAGGAGAGTGGGCAGGAGCAGTGGCATAAGTATTGTAGAGAAGAGCAGGCCTCCACGGCGGACACGGACCTTGAGGTGTCCATGATTTCACAAAAGATTCGGTTGGTTTCACATCAGGTTCGCGCCCAGTGTCGCCAGTATTTGAAGCAGTGGTGCGAGGACGTGGAAGACGTGGCCAGCCTACGCCGTCAGGCCCCAGCGCAGCATCTACCACAGCATCATCAGCAACTACAGGATGATGATGAATTAGCCTGTCCTGTTCGAAGGTGTCGCAGAACATTTGCAGCGCAACCGCATGACCTCCATCAGCATCACGGGCTACTGAGTATTCTCGGAATGCGTACTATCGTTAACCAAAGTTTTGTCTATGAACAGGTGTTTGAGGCCAGGCACGCGGCATATAAGCATGTCGTGGTTACTTCTCGTATGGGGGTATGTGTCCAAGGGTGATTGTTTACGTTTCGGCAGACGGATAATGACAAACGTAAGAGTCACATGTGTCGGCTTTGTAAGCAGACGGGGCTCAAGCGCAGTGAGTCTCACCAGCACCTTCGTGAACAGCCAGGCAGTATCGGCTTCACAGCAGTTCCATGCCAAGCTCCCAGCTTGGGGATTCAAGAGAGCAGTGAGCTCTTGCGGCTCAGTGGTCAAGCAGCAGCAGCAGCAGCAGCAGCAGCAGCAGCAGCAGCAGCAGCAGCAGCAGGGCGACAAGAAGCTCGAGGCGAAGGACCTCAAGCAGCAGGCGGAGCAGGCTATGAACAGCAATAAATTAGGCCCGCTCAAGGAGTTGGGGGTGGCGGACGTGTGTTTGGCGATCTCCAACATCTGAGGCGTTGTCGACCTCGCTGGCGCATGCACCCGCTGTTTTCTCATCCAGGAGGGTCACGAATTAGGAGAGCCCTGGATGCACAGGTGGATGTCACCACTACAAGCACTGCTGCAGCACGACAAGACTTCTCTGCATAATCTTCAGGGCCAGGTGCACTACTGTCGCACTCGCCCAAACAAGCCAAGTACAACATCCATCTCGTGTTGTCGGCCCAGTTGCACAGTGCGCTCAGCTCATTCCAGGGTCTGCCAGTGGAAACAGTTCATCAGGCAGGCTGCGAGGCGTTACATGCAGTGGGGGGCACACGCAAGGCAGCGCACGAGGGGGCACAGGAGTCAGAAGAAGAGGCCCAGATGAAATAGCATGGCTCCCCACCATCTCGGGATCGGACAGAATGCGGCAGATGGCAGCAAGTCAGGTTCTGGACCATGAGGGTCTAGTTGCACTTCGGCCCCGCACGTTTCAGCCCATTCTCTGCTATGTCACATATGCAAGCCAGGAGTTCCATCTCTCCTACTCACCCCTTCCGGGATTGGGGCTCTCCCGTCTCGATTTCGCCTCTCGCTCTGCACATGTCTCCCGTATGCACATGCGCAATGCCAGCGCGCCTTCGTTTGCCGCACCTGACCGCCCGCGAGTTGCATTGGCGCCAGTTGTGTTTCCAGTTGGAGGCTGGGGCCAGGATGAAGGTAGTCAACGCGAGGGTGCCACTGTGGCCCAGAATAATGTTGATATCTCTGAGCCCCCACCCCCCCCGCATTAAATGTGTACACGCCGTTCATGCGAGATCATTTGTCTTTCGTGTGATGAAATCTTGCCACGATGATGGTGCCTAGCCTCGGCCTTTAGGTTTCCCCGAATGAGGCCCGAGGAATTGGCCAGTAGCTATCCGCTCGGCAGGGTGACCGAAAGGAAACATCAGTTTCACGCGGATCCGTGCGTGATTGTGCATTGTCAGGCCACCTAGCATTGTTGTGTGCGTGTGGTCAGGATGGCATGACAGGGGTCGTAAGCGTCTCGTATCGTATCGTATCCTCTTCCTCCTCCTCCCTCCTCCCTCCTCCCTCCCTCTTCCCTCCTCCCTCCTCCTCCTCCTCCCTTCTCCCTCCTCCCTCCCCCCTCCTCCCTCCTCCCTCCTCCCTCCTCCCGCCTCCCTCCTCCCTCCTCCTCCTTCTGCTCCTCCTGCTCCTCCTCCTCCTCCTCCTCCTCCGCCTCCTCCATGGGTGACCTGGGCGACCACTGCAGTGGCCTTCCTTGCCTGGCTGCGTGCCGACTGGCGTTGCAGCTGGCGTCGGTTGCTCTTCGGGAGGAGCCGCGGGTTGGACGGCATGGGGGCTGGAGAGCAGCACCTGCAGTCTGTTCTGGCGCGCCGTCTTGTCGCCACTGGGAGCCGCTGTGACGGATGTGCAGTTTCGCTTCGCCCCGCGCCTGGGCGTCGCGGGGCGCGACCGTTTTGGACACCCAGGTTCCGTCCCAGAGGAGGAGGAGGAGGAGGTGGAGGAGGAGGAGGAGGAGGGACGTCTGACGATGTGAGTTTTCCCAGATAGCGTTTCGCTAGAGGTTTCTACCAGTCTTGAAAGACTCCACAGAAGAGTCCCGCAAGGAGCGCCCGAGACCGCCCCCTCTCAAATCGCCTGGTCTGGCAGCCACTTCGCCCGAGATGCCCTCACGACTCTTCATGCATCGTGGTCTCGCCTGTCTTCCTCCCTCCTCCCTCCTCCCTCCTCCCTCCCCCCAAACCCGCTACATTTTCGGTTGGGACGGCCACGATCCCTGGTAAAACGTGCACTGCGGTGAACATGGCCGTGCTCTCACCTCTTGCTTCGGCACGTTTTCACAGTAGCCGACATCCTCTTCCTCGACGCGCCTTTTCAACTTTGCTGCTATTTTTGGGTACCTTTTCTGGGGCAGTTCCATCCGCGGCCCCGGAGCCCTGGACCCCTGCCCTGAGTGCAGCTTGCCGCCCCAGAGCCATCTCTGATGGTCTGGGGGCCCGACACCGACCCCTGTCTGCCGCTTCGGCCCCGCGCTGGGGGGCCGGGAGCGGCCTCGGAACCTTGGTGCCGGAGCCAGTGAAAACGAGGAGGGGAGGGAGAGGGAGCTAACGGCCCAAAAGAGCCTTCAAAGGCCCCCCAGGGGACCCCCAGAGCGCCCCAAGAGACCCCCGAAAGGCCCCCAATTGGCGCCCAGAGGCCCCCCAGAGCGCCCGAAGAGGCCCCGGGACTGGCCAAGAGAGCCCCAAAACAGTCCAAGAGAACGCCAAGACAGCCCAAGAGAGCCCCCACAGACCCTTGAGACACGTCCGGACAGCCCAAGAGGGTCACATAAGCCTCCAAGAGGCTCCCAAAATCCTTCCGTACCATTTTGGCTCAAGCAACCGCAGACGTCAACGCGGCCGCACCATCTCCCTCCTGCAGGGGCTGGATAGCGCGATACTTTCCGATGGCCCGCTTCCTCTTGCAGCTGGTGGCGTGGCTCTGCCTGGGATCGCACGTGGCGGGGCAAGTCGAGGAGGTGGGCATCGCCGGGGCGGGCGAGACCGAGGCCCCGCAGTCCAACGACGCCATCGATATCCAGAAGCAGGTCGCGCTGGTCAATGCCACCAGGCCGAAGTCCAACGACGCCATCGATATCCAGAAGCAGGTCGCGCTGGTCAATGCCACCGGGCCGAAGTCCAACGACGCCATCGATATCCAGAAGCAGGTCGCGCTGGTCAGAGCCTGCGAGCCGAAGTCCAACGACGCCATCGATATCCAGAAGCAGGTCGCGCTGGTCAATGCCACCGGGCCGAAGTCCAACGACGCCATCGATATCCAGAAGCAGGTCGCGCTGGTCAGAGCCTGCGAGCCGAAGTCCAACGACGCCATCGATATCCAGAAGCAGGTCGCGCTGGTCAATACCACCGGGCCGAAGGTGAACGCCGTGAACCGCGCCGACGAAGGCGCGAACTACCCAACACCGGCGCACGGCCTCGACGTACGCCGCTTGACCGCCACATTTCTGGCGGGCCTTTTTCGGGGCCGACACTTGCCCGGACGGTTACGAGCCAATCTACGACGGTGCGGGATGCGCGACAGTTTCCGCATACGTGGGGCTCAGCTACGTCCCAGACCTGAACACAAACGTCGGGACCATTGGCACGTGGGGCTCATGGTGCTTTGGGGCCGCCGGGCACAGCGGCCAAGATAATGTGTGCAATCAGGTGTGCACTGTCGTGTCTGACCACAAGTACACGACCTCTTACTACCTGATTTGCCAAGCGACGGAGGAGACCCCTGCGCCGACGCCAGCACCGCCTGCGCCCGCCTCAACTCCGGCTCCGACTCCGACTCTGCAGTGCGGTTCCACAGTGGGGCGCTTCGACTGCTGGCAGGAGGTAGGCAGCTGCGAGAATCCCGCTTTCGATATGGATGAATGTCGAGAGGTCTCGTTTTCCACTGGTAGGAGCGACGTGTGCGGCAGCTCTGTGTGCGTTGGGGTTTCCATCAGCGCATCAGTGGCCGTCGCTGACCCCTTAGGTGTGATAGGAGGCGAGCTAGGACTAGGAAGCGAACTTTCCACAGAGGTATGTCAGGAGTGGTCTTCGGAGACCAGTTCTGAAGAAGTTCGAACCGTTAAGGTTCCAGGCGTTGCTGGGGAGAGAACCGTCGCTTGTGCCAAGGGCGTATCAGCCACGCTCAACGGCATAGGTTTCACGTCGTACCGAAGTAGCAAGTTTACAATTTGCCAGGGTTCTTGTCCAGGGCCAATTTGCGCGGTGGCACCACAAGAACTTCTGGCGCCAGGAGCTCTTCCGTGTCCACGTGCAAGTTCAGCGAAGGCCTGCGTAGCGCCAGCAGGCATTCTGTTCATGTGCGTTGCTTTTTTTCTGGCTGGCGTGAGTTGCGCGTCGCCCGCTTAACTCCGATGTGGGGATAAGGAAACAGCGCAGAATTGCGATTGAGGAATAAGGAAAGAGGAGCGGAACTAAAGGATGGGGAAGGGCTGTTGAGCCCACTGCTGTTATCAGCAGTGCGTTTTTTTTTTTTTTTTTTTTTTTTTTTTTTTTTTTTTTTTTTTTTTTTTTTTTTTTTTTTTTTTTTTTTTTTTTTTTTTTTTTTTTATATACATATATATATATATATATATATATATATATATATATATCTTAATGGCTTCGCCCTCTGTCGCCGCCCCCCCTGTTACTAGTGCGGGCGGCTGCGCGGGGGTCTCCTTGGGGCCTCTTGGTGGTCTTCTTGGGGCCTCTTGGGGGTGTCTTGGGGGTCTCCCTGGGGACTCTTTGGGGTCTCCTTGGGGCCTCTTGGAAACAATATTTTGGATCTCTTGGGGGTCTCCTTGGGGCCTCTTGGGGGCCTCTTGGGGGCCTCTGGGGACCTTCTTGGAGCCTCCTGAGGCCCTTTCGGGGCGGAAAAAAGGTCGAGTTTTCGGTTCGTGGACTTTTTCTCGGGCTTCTCTTGGGGCCGTCTTATGGCCCTTTGGGGCCGTCTGGGGCGCCTCTTGGACCGTCTTGGGGCCCTCTTTGGCCGTCTTAGGGCCGTCTTGGGGGGCCTCCGGGGCTTCTAGGGCCGTCGTGGGGCGATCTTGGGAACCTCTTGCTCCGTTTCGGAACGTCGGAAAGCCGAAAAGGCCAACAACTTTCAAGAACGTCAGGAAAATCGTTGATGTTTGCTTCTTGGGGCCCTCTTGGGAGGCCCCTTGGAGGCCTCTCGGGCCGTCTTGGGATCATCTTCGATTCTGGGCTATCTTGGTGGCCTGGGTGGGCTTCCTGGGCCGTCCCCCTGGCCCCGGCCCCCGACCCAGCCCCTCTCGTCTCCTGCCCCTCTCCCTAGATCACCGCTAGGGGCGCGAAGATGATCGCGCTTCGCGCGTGCGGCCTGGGCAGGAGAGATGCCCTTCTCCAACCTCGCGAGGGCGCGAAGGTAACCGCGCATCGCGGGGCGCGATGCGCGAAGTTAGGTGACCTAGCTCCCCCCTCCCCTTCTGTCTCGCCCCTCCCCATCCCCCCTTGCGCTTCTCTCCGCTCGCGTCTTGCGCGCACCTTGAGATCGCAGGCTTGCTGTGGTCTGCTCGAGTGCCACTGTTCTCTCATGCGGAGTGCACGTGCCCATATCCCAAATACACCGCGGCGGCTGCATGAATGCATCCGTCTTCCCGCGAAGCAACGTGGGGTAGATGTAGCAAGCGCGGGTGACAAAGCAAACACGCGGCTTAACTACTTTGTGCACTTCGATTTCTGACTGCATCGCTGCCCAAACAACACCTTTTCGAGTGGCCACATCTTGACATCCGCGGACGACGACGATGACGTTAAAACTTCGTCCTGGGAGTTTCACCAGCCCATCCAGAACTGATGCCTGGGCGAGTTGTCGTGAGAAGGGAAGTGGGGGGGGCACTCCTGCAGCAGAGGGGGGCATTCGCGCAGCAAATAACCTCCAAAACGGCCAGTTTGGGTCTCTCTGGGAGCTTCCGGGAGGCCATGTCTGGGCCCTCTTAGGCCATTCTGGGAGCGGTTGGTGCCCTCAGGACCCTTCTGGGCCCCTCTTGAGGTCCACCCGGGCAATATCCAGCTGCCTGCGGCAGGTCCCGCCACCGTTCCAGTCCAGCATGCTCGGCGGCTCTCGTTCGAGGGGGCACCAGAGGCCGTACTCGCGAGGAGCCAGACGGCGACGACGACGACGACGACGACGACGACGACGACGACGACCAGGACGACGACGACGACGCCCTTTTGGGACCCTTCTGGGCCCCTCTTGAGGTCCTCCTGGGCAACATTTGGGGCCGTCCTCGGGGCTCCGAGGCCCATCGGAGGCCGACGATGCTGGCGCGTGGACCCCGCTCGGCGAGAGAGGAGACGGCCCCACGGGACAACCCCACGACGGACGACGGACGTCGACGGACGACGGACGAACGACGACGACGACGACGACGACGACGACGACGACGACCACCGACGGACGACGGACGACGGGCGATGGACGACGGACGACGGACGACGGACGACGGACGACGGACGACGGACGACGACGCCGACCGCGAAAGCGCGGCCTCGTGGCCGGGGACAGTCGGGGACGTTCGAGCGAGTGGAGACGGCGGCGGCGGCGCAGTTGGGATCTTGGGTTGGCGGCGGCGGCTCCGTGGGGAGCTCTTTGGTCACTTGGGACCGTCTTGGTGCGGTGTCGGGGCCTCTTGGAGCATCTTGGGATCCATCTTGAGGCATCTTGCGCTATATTGAGCCATCTTGGAGGTTATCTTGGGCTTTCTGAGGCCTTCTTGGAACTGTCTTGGGCCATCTTGGACGCCCCAACGACCCGCGAAACATTCCGTCCAGGTCCAGGGGAGGGGGTAGGGAGGGGAAAAAGGAGGTTGGAAGAGGAATCTCTCTAGACCACCGACGCCCAGAGGGCTGGTGGGATTGGTACTTCTGAATTCCCGAATGGTTGGTGTTCGGCGCAGTGTTCGTTTTGTTTGAACGTCTTGGCACATGCTGGTATGTTTCGGTTTCGTGTCGTGCAGGGCTTCTTTGCAAAAGGCTTGGCCAGCACTCAGAGCCTTTGATGATAAGCTCTAGATAGGGACATCTGAGATCCGCTGATGAGTTTATTCAGTGATGCGAAGAGTCCGACCTTCCCGCTGGCAACCAAGACCTTGCGCCCGCGACGAGATGTCGAGCTCAGAGCGCCATCTCCAGCACGAGGATGACACTTGGGCGCTCTTTGGGCCGTCTTGGGGCTCTCGTGGGCCTCTCTTGGGGCTCTGTTGGGCCATCTTGGAGCTGTCGGAGCCAAAAACATTGATTTTCCAAGGGTTTTGACCAGATGTTGGCCTCTCGGGGGTCTCGTGGACGAATAACTGCCTTCCAGATTCCGAGATACCTAGCGTTCCGCTCGAACCATCCCCTCGAATGTGTTTTCGAACGTATCGCGCTTCCTGAGAGCGCCTTCGAGGACTCTCTTACTTTTTGCTTCGGCAGTTGGTCATTCGGTGCGCGCTGGCACAATGGTGACGTCTCCCGGGGAGCTTGAGAAGGATCGGGAGCTGTCTAATCTCACCTTCCGTATCGTAATTCTTGACGCTTCGCGTATCCCCACCAGCCCGTCCTCCACCAGGCACTCGAATGAAGAACGCCGACCATCGGCAGCTGTTCTCCTCCTCCTCCTCCTCCTTTCCCTTCTCTTCCTCCTTTCCTCCTCCTGGTGGCGTCATGACAGTTTCTCGGAGCGTGTTTGAGGGTCCAAAACGATTTTTGAGGCCCTTTTGGGGAACATCGTTCACAGAAGGGGGGTCCCTCAATTAGCGTTGCCCTCCATCAATCAGTCCAATCAGAGTGTAGCGTGGTTCGTTGCGAAACGTCCCTGCCTTCGGCGCCTTCGAGCCATTGACGTTCACATAGACTTTCTTCATGTTGGAGCCATCCGTGGCGTGTTGTCATGATGTCTGCGACTTCAGCTGTTTTGTTATGTCTCCTGCGTGTTGTCCATACCTGCCTCCTCAACGATTCTTCATCGCGCGTCTGTCGTATCCGTTGTGGCGCCGCGTCGCTTCTGCTGTCGCAGGTTGTCGATCATAACCATTTCGGCTTCAGTGCTTTTCGTTGCTGCCCGCAGCGTCTGAACAATTTTCCTGGACATCGTATTTCGTTTCCTGAGAGCGCCTTCGAGGACTCTCTTGCTTATTCGCTTCGGTTGTTCGTTTTTGGGTGAAACGACGGGGGAAACGAACTATTGCGGAATGCTCGTTGCAAAGGCAGAGCCGACGAACTGGTCGGTGCCATCGTTGTTGTTGCGATACGTAGACGAGAACAGGTCTGACGCGGTGTTCGTGGTTATTGGGGAAGCCTTAGAGCAATTTCGCTCTTGTGAGGTGTGGCGAGTTGACGAGTTCACTGTTCTTGGTTCCAACGTGAGGAACAGTTCGGGCGTTCAAAAATTTGGCGTTCAGTGTTTGTATGAAGTATCATTGAAGTTCGTGGCTCCAGACTTAAAGCTAGCTGGGCGGACGTGGCCTTTCAAGTATGCGTATGCCTTCCAGGATTGGCCTAGCATGAACCAGCTAGACGCGGGCGCCTTCGTCGATATTCTTGGGAAATTGGAAGCGAAGCCAGTGTTGGATGCTAATTCGTCAATTCCCAAACCGTTTTCAGATTGACGAACGGGGAACACGTCCAAGAAGTTGAAATCCTTGGCGCGTCGCAGATGTGAGCAGGGGACACGGTTGCACTGTCGGGCGTCAAGGTTCGAGAGTGGAATGGACGGCGATCTTTGCAGAGTACTTATTTAACGCTCCTCGAGCGCAGCCCTTTGGGACAATCCGTCGAAGCCAATGAGGGGCCAAAGCGCAAGGCTATCCGTCTGTCCCCGACAACGCGGTTGACCGTATCCCAGGCGAAGCTCGAAATGGAAAAGCTTGCCGCCTCCGCGGGGGAGACACAGGGCCCAGGGCCGCTCTCGTTTACTGTGGTCGGCAGGGTTGCAGCGTTGACGTCGGATTTCTTCGAAGACGACGTTCCGATTCTCCAGAAGAGCGATGCTGAGATCATGTGCTACAAGGCATCCATTGCGGACGCTACTGGCCGTCTGCCTGTGAAGATCTGGGATAAGCCGTGCCATGACATCTTCGGCGTGACTGCGAACTGTCAGCAGCAGTGCGTTTATATATTTAGCTTCGCGCCGCTTTGCGTCGCGCGGTGTTGGGCTCCCCTCTGCCTATTATTTCAGGTCTGCTGTGTCCCCTGTTAGAGCGGCTTAGGGTGCATGCCTTGCACTCTCTGTTGAGCTACATCGTATTATATAGTTCGAATCATTGCTTAGTTCGCTGGCTTTCGAATCGCTGCGCACTCTTCTTGAATTTGTTCTGTCCTGCCGGCGCGTGTTGCGGCCATGCTGGCCGAGGGGGGTGGGGGGGGTGGGTGGGTGGGGTGGGGGGGGGGTGGGGGGTGGGCGGGGGGGGGCAGGCGCATCCGTTCCCGTGCCTGCCAGAAGCGAGCGTCAGGAGCAGCAGGTTACTTGGGCGTGGGTTTCCCTGACCGCAGTCATTTCGGCTCGGGAAAAGAGTCTAGCAACCTCTTATTGTATTTTCAGGAGGAGGGGGGGTGGGGGGGGATCCACATCCAGGGGTTAGGCTACTTAGTTCGTAAGCAAAACCTTTGGACCAACCTGATGCGAGATTTGTTTTCTCCCCGTGTGCTGCATGGGCCTCGCGCGCTCCGTGCCGATCCAGTTTTTTTTTTTTTTTTTTTTTTTTTTTTTTTTTTTTTTTTTTTTTTTTTTTTTTTTTTTTTTTTTTTTTTTTTATATATATATATATATATATATATATATATATATAACAAAAAAAAGGGGGCGAGGACGTCCTTGCAGGGCTTGGTTACTTCGGCCCTGTGCAGCTCGGCGCCAAGGCCGGGGGGAATGCTGAGCGTCTTGAGAGGCAGTTTCAGTCGGATCGTGGCAAGGCCTGGCGTTCTTGGGTCAAGAGCAGTCTGGGCAATGTCCTTCCTCTTGAGCAGTCTGGGCAATGTGGCTGATAAGGCCCACGAGTTCTCCAAGATCACTCTGGGGTGGGTTCCTTCGAACCCCGGAGGGGGGCCCCCCAAAGGGGCCCATGGGTCGGACCGACGACTTCATGATGGAATGGGCCGACATCTGGGCTCCTTCGGGCGACTTCAAGGACCTCCCAGACCCCGTCAGCCTCCTCGCTAGCAAGATCGACGACCAAAGAGATGCCCTCGGAGACGGCCGCGTCCGATCAGATTCGAAAGTGCCCCAGCAGGTTCAAGGTTAGGACTGGGCCCGCCCCGGGGACTTCGGGGTCCTCTGCGATGATGCTCTGGAGTGTGTTGCTGCCCTCTGGTTCTGGATAGAGTCCCTGGGGAAGTTGCCTGAGGTCTTGGCGACGATTATCTTGGCAAGATTTCCAAGGGCGAGGAAGGAGGTGTCAGGCCGATTGGGGTCCTGTCTGGGAATGTTCGCTGCTTTGGGCAGTTCCCCAGGTTTCAGGATGACAGCTGGGGGCGGGCCCACGACAAGGCCTATCACTACGGAAGCAAAATGCGACCGTGCGAACCGGCGGTCTGGGAACAGGCGATCAGGATGGAGCATGCGCGCGCTTTCGGTCACGATGCAGCCTCAGTCCTGGTCATTCGGTCGACGCGACCAGCTGTTGCGAGAAAGTGGTGCGCTATCTCTTAGCCTGTGCCGCCGTCAAGCACGGGTTCCCGCTGGGCCGCCTGCGCTGCCTCCTCTGCGTGTACAGGGGCCCCAGGGTCTTGCAGGTCGGCAGGGTATGTTCGGAGTGCGTGTCCTGCCTCCGGGCCTTTCTAGCCGCTTGCACCTTTGCCGCAGCGCTGCTAAGGTGCCTCCTCTTGGGCCCGCTAGACCAGGTAGTTGACAGGTTCCCGACGGTGCGATTCTACAACGTAGTCGACGATATCACGACGGGTGCGACAGGTCAGGCGAGGGCTGTAGCGCGGGCGACGGCCGATGCAAGGCACATGCTATGTAGAAAGCTTGAGTGTATAGGTTTCCTGACATCCCCCACGAAGGGCCTGATCACGGCGACGTCCAGGGACATCGAGGCTCGCGTTAAAACTCGTCTGTGGCGCTGGATGTTCCAGGTGGTCAAGACAACTCGAAATCTTAGGGGTGATTGTTCCGCGGGTCGGCGTCGCATTCCTGTCCAGGCGATGTGCTGGGCGAGCTTATGGCCCAGGATTCGACGATTCCGAGGTCTGTGCCCAGGATATGCAAGTCGTTGCAAGGCTTGTAGCTTTTTATGGCACGGGCGGCATAGGCATGACTACGGCGACTCTGATGAGGCTTCGGTCGATAGTTGGTCAGGCGTCCTTCGGCAGGTGCAGAGGCAGGTCCAGGGCGTCGCAGTTTCTCTTGAGCCCTGTTAAGCACTGTGACCCATTCTATCAAGCGAACCTTCCCCTTTTTAATGTGTGGCAGCAAGCGGCCAAGCCGGTTTGGATCCCAGTCCACATCATGAAGTCATTTGCCGGCTTCTATTTTACCTCGGCTTCCAGGTCCTGGGATAAGGTTCGGGGTCCTGCTGGTGCTGGCTGGGCTGGACCGTCTGGGGTCAAGTTTCAGAGGCTGGGGCACTTGGGTGACATGTCGTTGGGTCGCCCTGGACCTCCACGCCTTCGGTAAGCGTACTCCCACCAAGTTGATTAACCACTCTACACGTATGAGGCTGTTGGGTCATGTTGGGGTACCTGACCCTGAGGCCCCCGGCAGGGTCGCGCCGCCGCTCTCGGGGCCGATTCTGGACTTTCGGAAGGACTTTCTTAGGGGCTTTCCCCAGGATGCCTGAGGATCCTGAGCCTCCCCAGGGTTCCGCGCGGTTTTTCGAGATTCCTGCAGCCCCCCCCAAGGTTCCTCAGGACTCCTGAGAGTTTTTGAGCCCCCACCCCAGGGTTTCGCACGGTTCTTGAAGATTCCTGAGGATTCCAGAGCCCCCCACGTCACACCATGATTTTTGAAGGTCTTGGGCTTCCCATGAGTTCCCTGCGGTTCCTCAGGGTTCCTGACCCCCCCCCGAGGGTTCCTCAGGATTCTTGAAGGTTCCTGAGCCCCCCCCCCCGAGGGTTTCGCATGGTTCTTCAGGGTTCCTGAGGATTCCCGAGCCACCAACGGTTCCTCAGGATTCTTGAGGATCTTGAGCTTCCCCAGGGTTTCGCGCGGTTCTTCGGGTCAGGATTGTTGAAGCCCCCGAAGGTTGCCCAGGATTCCTGAATGTTCTTGAACACCATTAGGATTTCGCACGGTTTTTCAGGATTCCTTGATCATTCTTGAAGCCCCCAGTGGTTCATCAGGAGTCTTGGAAGTTATCGAGCCACTCCCCACGCCCCATGGTCTCGCACGGTTCCTCAATATTCTTGAAGGGTCCCTAGCCCCCCACGGCGCACCATGATTTCTGAGGATCCTGAGTTCCCCCAGGGTTTCGCGCGGTTCTTCATGATTCCTGAGGGTCCCCCCTCACACGTTTGTTCAGGATTCCTGAAGGTGCTCGAGCCCCCACCCCAGATTTTCGCACAGTTCTCCAGGGTTCTTGAGGATTCCCGAGCCACCCACGGTTCCCGAGGATTCTTGAGGATCTTAAGACTCCCCAGGGTTTCGCGCGGTTCTTCGTGGTCAGGATTCTTGAGGATCCTGAGCCACCCACAGGGTTTCTAGCGGTTTTGAAGAATTTCTATGGTTTCTGTTGCCACACTGTTTACGGTTCCTCTGGGTACCTGGGGAATCTTGAGCCTTCCCCGGAGTTTCGCCGGTTTTTCAGGTGGCATGCGGAATCCTGAGCTTCCCCCTGCGATTTCTCACGATTCCTGAGGATTCTTCAGTCCCGTCCACGGCCACCAGATAAAGAAACACTACAGAACTCCTTACACGCGCGCGCGTGTAAGGAGTTCAGTATTGTTTATGAATGGAAAAGCAGACATGTAATACAAACAGCTGAATTCAACATTTCTGTGATCCCTTACGGAGGCCGACGGACGCGCCGATTTTTCTATTGTGGGCAATACAGAACTCCACGCGCGCGCGTGTAAGGAGTTCTGCATTGTCTCTTACTAGAAAAGCCGAGCTGTAATTCTAAAACCTGAAGTCAAAATTTTTGTAACCCTTGCAGGAGGCCGACGGGCGCGCCGATTTTTGTATTGTGGACAATCCAGAACTCCCCCCGCGCGCGCGCGTAAGGAGTTTTGTCGTGTTTCTCAATAGAAAGCAGGCGTGTGATTCCAAAAACTGAATTCACAATTTTTGTGACCTTTTGAGGGCGCCGACGGACGCGCCGACTCTTCTATTGTGGACAATACAGAACTCCCTACGCGCGCGCGTGTAAGGAATTCTGTAGTGTCTCTAAATCGAAAAACCGACATGTAATTCCAAGAGCTGAAGTCAACATTTCTGTGACTTTCCAAGAAGGCCGACGCGCGCGCCGACTTTTCTATTGTGGACAATACAGAAATCCGCGCGCGCGTGCGTGTAAGGAGTTCTGTATTGTCTCTTCATAGACAACCCGAGATTTAATCCCAAAAACTGAATTCAAAATTTCTGTGGCCCTTTAAGACGGCCGGCGGGCGCGCCGACTTTTTTCTATTGTGGGCAGTGCAAAACTCCCCATGCGCGCGCGTGTGTAAGGAGTACTGCATTGTTTCTTCTTAGAAGAGCCGACATGTAATTCGAAAAACTGAATTCAAAATTTCTGTGATCCTTGCAGGATGCCGACGGACGCGCCGACTTTTCTGTTGTGGACAATACAGAACTCCCCACGCGCGCGCGTGTAAGGAATTCTGTAGTGTCTCTAAATAGAAAAGCCGACATGTAATTCCAACAACTGAATTTACAATTTCTGTGACCCTCACAGGATGCCGACGGACGCGCCGACTTTTCTGTTGTGGACAATGCAGAACTCCCCACGCGCGCGCGCGGAAGGAGTTCTGTATTGTCTCTTAATAGAAAAGCGGACATGTAATTCCAAAAACTGAATTCACAATTTCTGTGATTCTTTGAACAGGCGGGCGGGCGCACCGACTTTTCTACTGTGGACAATACATAACTCCCCACGCGCGCGCGTGTAAGGAGTTCTGTAGTTTCTCTTAATAGAAAACCCGAGATGTAATCCCAAAACTGATTTCAAAAAATCTGTGGCCTTTCAAGGATGCCGACGGACGCGCCGACTTTCCTATTGTGGACAATACAGAGCTCCCCACGCGCGAGAGTTGAGTTAGTAAGGA